AAGGCAGTCAAAACCCGGAGACCAGAGAGAGCTGATATTGCTGTTCTATTCCAATGGCCATCTATTGGCAGAATGCTGTCTTGCTCAGGGAAGGTCATTTGTTCAATTTAGGCCCTCAGCTGAAGAGATTCACCCACATCAGAGAGGGCAACTTGCTTTACCCAAAGTTTACCAACTTAAATGTTAATCTCATCCAAAATCAACTTTCCAGAAACATCCAGAATAATGTCCGTTCAAATATTTGGACACTGTGGGTCAGCCAAATTGACACATAGTCATCACAGACTTTGATTTTCCTGAGGTGATCTAGATCATAGCTGCCACCAAGGGGTATGTGGACGAATAGTCCCAGATTAATTGCCATCCTGTTATTGACAAATCCAGGGAAAACTATAATCTCTGTTCTATTAGAACAGTCCAGTTTAAGTGGGATGAATTCTAAGTTCTGCTAACCACACTTATTTACTTATTCCATCCAATTAAAACATAACAGCAAGTTGAGACTACTGATTCCATCAAAACGTCATTAATCCTCTTTACATGGAAACTTCTTCCTGACCAACCCTGCTTTTCCTGTTTCTTGTATTTTTCTCATCTCTGACCTCTTAGGAACAGAGCCAGCTCTTGAGTAATCACCAATACTTTCTATTGTTACTTCTGCTTTCAGGTCAATTCAAGTCATGAATACCACCTGTGAACATTCATTTTAAATCTGTTTTTCCAGCACTTGCCCATCCAAATGAATGTTCTCTTCTTCAAAGTAATTCATTTTAATTATGTTGCCATTGCTTAAAGCAGTTTTGAAATTCTTTAGAAACTCTCTTTAGAAACTGATACACACATTCTTTTGAATTTCTTCAGTGAAAACATAACTTGGCTCTTTGAAGATTGATTGGCTATTTAGAACATTAAAAACATATTCAAGCTGATAATAAAGGTAGGTGATAGTTTGGGCAATGTTGGCTTTCAGCCAAAAATCAAATTATGACCATCAGACAATAACAAAAATAACTACGCCATTCTGTAGTTTCTGTACTTGCATTCTTATTGGAATTAATTACTAGCCCCTAAGGTCACTGGCAATTTGTATATATCAATCACCTGGATAAAACAATCCTTATGTATTTGTATGAAAATTAAAATTTATAGTTATACTTCATTTTATTGTCTAAACTAGATCATAGATATACTTGATATTTTCCTTTTTGAAACTCGTACTTTGGGAAGGGGGTGCTGGGGAGTGAATCCAAGGCCTTGCACCTGCTAAGTATATGATATCAAACTGAGCTACATTCCCAGCTCTGTCTTAACAATATTGAAAGCAAGAGTCGTATTTGAGCACCATTATATGCTAGCACCCACCTTATTGCACAACACATGCTAGGCACTTAAAAACATGTGTTGAATTATGTTATTGTTTCTGTCTATTTGACCCCCAAAGCCTCACGCGTTGATGGGGCAGGCTTCTAGAACTTGTGATTAACTAAGGATCCGATGCTGGGATTATGGGTGTGAGTGCTACACCTGCCCTGGCGTGGATAGCCTGAATACAATATAAGGAAGGGAGAGAGGCTTGCTCTCTGTCACCCTCCTCCCTTTGCTCTTGTTGTTTTGCTATTTTCCACTGCCATGAACTACTGCCCTCTTCCATGTGCCACTCTGCCTTGAAACCAACTGATTATGGGCTGAAAAAAACTGTGAGCTAAG